AGCTGTGTACTTCTGCCTAAAATGTAAAGGTATGTTAATTTGTTGCTTTCTCTCACTATCCTTTCTAGAACAGGTACCCTGCTTAGAAGCAAGGAGCTACAAGAATTGTGGTAAGTATCCAACTTATAGACAATCTCTCTGCTTACGTTAGTTAGGAAAGTCATGTAGGCTAGGGATCTGTATCTCTAGTTGTACAGAACCTGAGAAAAGTATGAGACACCTATATTCAAGCTGTGATTTGATAATGCATCGTATTGTATACTGTTGCTTTCTGTGGCGATTGTGTTCACTAGAGACAAAACACTTGAGGAAGGGGAAAAAGGGCTTTCGGTCTTTTCGATTCCTAACATTAAACATATGTTTTCAAATATGCAAGCTAAGCTCTATCTGGTCCAGCTAAACACAATTTTAATCTTTTATTTAATAAATTCTTTTCGAATCCTTTGTCCATTCTTTGTACTTCTTTACAACCTGTAATATACCTTATTTCCTGCTTCTTGCAAAAAAAAAAAAAAGATTTATCTATGAGAAGAAAAATAACTTTCCAATATCCTGTTTGATTAACAGGTACTGTTCATGAGAAAGAGGGTTGAGTTAACTTCATTAAGTTCAACATTAATGGTACCAAGATTTCTAAAACTGGGGTGCTCCAATTCAGCTATTGACACTTGCTGTTAAAGGGGATGTGTCTCAAAAGGGTTACTGTTGAGTATAGGAGCCCTCTTGGATTCAGGGTCGGGGTCTTGCTATATTGTTAATGAGAATGAATAGTTTTAATAATGTCAGCTGAAATGGAAAAAGTGCCTCAATTAATGCCTGCAATAGAGGAAAGAAGGAGAGGCTGGGCAAGAAATTCTGGCCCCTTCCCTCAAACTCTGCAGCCTCTTACATCCGTCAGTAGGAGGGTGGGAGGTTGAAAGAGGCTTGAATTTCTCCTTCCTCCCATGGAATTATCTCCCAGAGGAAACAGATGCCTTTGCCTCAAGAAGAAATCAGTCTTCAGAATATAGGGATTTCCAGAAAAGACTGCAGAGACATGTTCTTAATTTCTGTGATTTCCTATAGACATTCCTAGATACCTTCCCCCCCCTCGCAGCTCCCCGGCCGAAATCCTCCCACCTGCCTCTCCCGCAGCTCCTCCTCGCCGGCGGCTTGGCTCAGCAGGAAGCCCTCGGCCAGGGCCACCGCCTGCGAGCAGGTCTCCGCCCC